CTGACTTTAGCACACAGGTTCAACCTATAGGGGGTTAACTGATCTTGCAACCCATAGTGATCCATGGGATCAGCTTCAGCGGTTTGCAGCCTCTAAGGGATTAACTGTGGCAGCTCTGTGCTAAAGTTGAAGATCGGCCTGAAACCTCCACATGCGCAGTTGCTTCAGGGGATACATATCTTCATGGGATACTAATTTTATCGCTACACCGACACTGCTCCTTCCTCTCTGGAGGAGTAAAACCACATGTTGCCGCACCGGGTGACACCAACCCTAGGGACTCTGCAATGGTGTCACTGGGAAGTTATTTGAAAAAGCAGAAAGAAATTGCTCAAGGAACCCCTAGCAACCTCTGGAGGAATTCTAGGATTCCTCAGAACCTTGGTTGAGAAACTTTGTTCTATTTCAGTGGTCGGCAAGCCGCGGCTCGCGAGCCACATGCGGCTCTTTACAAGCTTAAATGCGGCTCTTCTGTGTGCCGGGCGCCCACTCCCCTCCCTCCCCTCCCTCCTCTCGGACGGGCGTGTGGTGCGGGCGGCCGCCCCCTCACCTCCCCTCACCTCCCCTCCCCTCCCTCCTCTCCCTCCTCTCGGACGGCCGCCCGCTCCCCTCCCTCCTCTCGGGCGGCCGCCCCAAAAGTCAGGACTCTGCAGCTGTCAGGATGTAGGCGGGGCAGCCAGGATGTAGGCGGGGCAGCGTGACGAACTCCTCTCCTCTCACAGTCCGCCCTGAAGACCAGAACGGCGCGGGAAGCACGACGAGAGGAACGCGCGGAGCAAAGGTAAGTGAATTGACACAGGGGGGGACTTACTATATGGGGGATGAATTACTATATGGGGGACTTACTATATGGGGGGGACTTACTATATGGGGGGGGACTTACTATATGGGGGGGACTTACTATATGGGGGATGAATTACTATATGGGGGGGGACTTACTATATGGGGGGGGGGGACTTACTATATGGGGGGGGGGACTTACTATATGGGGGACTTACTATATGGGGGACTTACTATATGGGGGATGAATTACTATATGGGAGATGAATTACTATATGGGGGATGAATTACTATGGGGGATGAATTACTATATGGGGGATGAATTACTATGGGGGATGAATTACTATGGGGGATGAATTACTATGGGGGGGATGAATTACTATGGGGTGATGAATTACTATATGGGGGATGAATTACTATGGGGGGATGAATTACTATGGGGGATGAATTACTATGGGGGATGAATTAATATGGGGGATGAATTACTATGGGGGATGAATTACTATATGGGGGATGAATTACTATATGGGGGATGAATTACTATGGGGGATGAATTACTATATGGGGGATGAATTGCTATGGGGGATGAATTGCTATATGGGGGATGAATTGCTATATGGGGGATGAATTACTATGGGGGATGAATTACTATATGGGAGATGTATTTTCAGTTTTAAAAATGTGGCTCTCAAAATAAATTTCAATCGTGGTTTTGGCGAGATTTGACTCAGTTGAAAAAAAAGGTTGCCCACCACTGTTCTATTTCATTGGTAGTCAGAGGGAAAGAATGTTCCTTTACATTGGTGGCCAGTTGATGGAAGAATGTTCCCTTCAATTGGTTATCCGTGAGTGGAAGAATGTTTCCTTACATTGGTAGCCAGTGGGAGAAAGAGTTTCCCTTATACTGATAATCATTGAGAGGAATTCCCCTTACATTGGTGGTCAGTGTGAGTAGGAATATCACCTTACATTGGTCATCTATGGAAAGAAGCATGTCCCCCTATAGTGGGAGAAAGAATGACCCCATATCTTTTGAGTAGGTAGAAGGGAGAATGCCCCCTGTTACCTTAGGGGTCATTATATTGGTGGGCATTAGAAGCCAGAATAACCCTTACATTGGTGGTCAGTGGGCAAAGAATTTCCCTTAAATTGGTGGTTAGTGGGAGAAAGTATGCTCCCCTGCAGTGGAGTCAGTGGAAGAAACAATACCCTCTTACATCGAGTTATTATTAGCCACCAGCACAGTGGCTAAAGGGTTAGCACTTCCACCTGGCAGTACTAGGGGCATTGGTTCAAATCCCAGCCACAGCACCACCTGCCTGGAGTTTGCATGTTCTCCCTGTGCCTGTGTGGGTTTCCTCTGGGTACACTGGTTTCCTCCCCACACTCCAAAGACATGCTGGTAGGTGAATTGGCTCCTGTCTAAATTGTCCCTAGTATGTGTATGTATGAATGTGAGTTAGGGACCTTAGATTGTACGCCCCTTGAGGGTTAGGGACTGATGTGAATGTACAATAAATATGTAAAGTGCTGTGTAAATTGATGGCGCTATACAAGTACCTGAAATAATGATTAGAAATGTTATTTAAACCACCACTTTAATACAGGGTACTTTTACCCCCTTCCTGCCCAGGCCAATTTTCAGCTTTCAGCGCTCACGCACCATGAATGACAATTGTGCACTCATGCAACAATGTACCCAAACAAACGTTTTATCATTTCATTCACACAACTGTAACTTTCTTTTGGTGGCATTTAATCACCATTGGGTTTTAATGTTTTGCTAAATAAACGAAAAAAAGACCGAACATTTTGAAAAAAAAAAAACAAGTTTTTCTTTGTTTCTGTTATAAAAATTTGCAAATAAATAATTTGTTCTTCATAAATTTAGACCAATATGTATTCTGCTACATGTCTTTGGTGAAAATAACCCAAATCAGTATTTATAATTTAGTCTGTAGGAAAGTTATAGACTCCACAAACTATCGTATGTATCTGAAAATTGATCAATCCTGATGCACTGATGGCCGATCTAATTTCTTGAGGCCCAAAAATGTCAGATCAGTACACATCCCCCAAATGACCCGTTTTACAGCACAGCATCATCGTGTAACTGGTGTGGCAGTGATCAGGAACACTGACTATTGACAGTACAGAAAACAAAATTTCAATTTTTACATTTTTTTATTTATTCAAATTTTTTTTTTATTTATGTTTTACAATTTGTTTTTATAACACACTGTGACCAGAGTAGTATAATGTTCATAGTAACAGTGTATTACTCTGGGAAAGTGATTCATTTTTTTTTTTTTTTTACACATTATAATTGCTTAAAGCAAATAATTTCATTGCTATAAGCAAGCATTTACCCTAATATTTATAATTCATTCAGGTTTTTTTGTGATTGGCCACAGCTAATCACATGACAAAGATGGGCTGTGATTGACCGACCAGAGGGATGAAAAATGAGTTGATTTGAGCTTTAAACAGCCAATAAATTGGCATTTTCCAAAACTGGAAGTGGCATCCTGGGGTGTGTCCTCAGAACCGGAAGTAGCTTTTAATTTCCTTTCTCTTTGACTTTTTAGGGTTAAAAAGCCCTGCTGCTTCCATTTTTCACATTTTTAAGTTTGTACCATGTGATCATTGTGCCCAATCATAGCTAGCAGCACAATTGTATACAATGGATGGCATGAAAAGAAGCCATCCTTTGTTTACAATTGTCACGTGAACCGCTGTAATTGGTCACAGTGGTCACATGGTACTGGCAATGGCCAGTACACAGATCTGTCATTGGCTGTGGACACGATGCGGGAGGACGTCATATGATGCACACCCAGATTAACGAAAGTCCTGCTCGGCCGTCAATTTGCTATTGGCCGGATTAGAACTGGTTAATCAAAATATATGTATAGTGTATACTACGAAAAAAAATTGGTGTGTGTCACTAAAAGAAAGAAAAGGTGGCAACCCTACCCAAGATGGCAGGAAGGGGGCCTGTTGTAGAACATGTGAAAGGGTTTCATTGCGGGACCATAATAAAGGGCCCAACGACAAAGTAAAGGGCCCTGGGACCAGTGGAAAGGGCCCCAGCCTTGGAGGGAAGAGCACAGCACAGAGATCAGGGGGGCCGTTCATGGTTTTGTGCATCGGGGCCCTGAAAGTTCTAGTTACGCCTCTGCATTCAGGGCTCCCCCCACAGGCAATTGGTTCCTAGGGAACAATATTAGGAGTACAAAGGGGCACTGGTCCTTAATATATAGGACATGCTACTACTAGATGTAGCATTGGCAACTGGCCACTAATGCAGGCCATAGACGGGTCGTTTCATCTGCATGAAAAATCGGCCAATAATCACACCGTTAGTGGGGCCAGCCCGTTGGCCATTTTTTGCGGATCTCATTTATTTTTATTGGTCATGCTGGAAAATTCACGAAAAATGGCCGTTTTTTCGTGGACATGTCTGGCAGCAATGGCAACAGGGCCGACCAATTTTTCGTTTATCAGCCAAAAAATTGTCCAATAAACAGCCCGTCTATGGCCTGCCTTAGGCAAAGCACGTGATATAATGGCAGGAGCAGGGGCGGACTGACAACTCATGGGGCCCCCGGGCAATAGGAGATCATGGGGCCCCTGTGTCCTTGCCCAAACTCAAAAAAGCCTATGAAAAAGGTACCAGGGGCATCTCATGGGGCCCCCTACTGACCCTGGGCCCTCAGTCAGTGCCCAAATGGTCAGTCCACCCCTGGGCAGGAGGACACTGAATGGGGGGAGCCAAGAAAATTTTGCCGTAAGGCCAGGTGACATGTAGTTTATATATATATATATATATATATATATATATAGAGAGAGAGAACATTTCTGAAAATAGATATGCTGGTAGGGTTACAACCATTTTGTCTTTGTCCATAAAAATAAACACAAGTATCACAAAACTGGAAAAAAAACACTTTTATGTACAGGTTTAATGCACCATTGTGAAGCATGTAGATTAGGACACCTCCAGGAATTCAGACTCCAGCCCCGTAGTTCATTTAGCTAACACATAGTCTAGAAGTTTGTCCACTCTCGGACCTTGTAAAGGCCGGGCAGTTGTCACAGGTTCATGCATCCTGCTACGCAGCTGGACAGCCATGTTCCCGAGGCCACGACTGAGAATCTGGGTGGTAGAATCCATCTTGTCTGCAGGTCTGAAAACCCCGCGTTGAGGTGGTCCGGGTTTAGGTCAGGATTGTACAGATCCCCACAGTGAGCAGGAGATGGTGCAGGATCACTGAAGCCATAAAGATCAATAAAAGTGTTTTTTAAGGGAAATATAGACATTCTATTCACAATCAAATACTGTATGTCTTCAGCATACAGACATAGTTTGGGGTCTCCAAACTTTTCCGTTCCAGGGTCATGTCGCATATTTTACAAATATTTTCGGGTTGAAAAAAAAACAGTTGAATGAGTTTATCAAATTTACAGTGTTCCTAAACCCACAACAGTAAAATCAGTCTGTATATGCAGTAAAGCATGCTTGATATACTCGCTGTGGAACCTAAGGGGTTAATCTTCTGCATTGTGTAAAAAGGCTGTTTGATCCTGTCTTCTCTGATCCTCCCCTTATCTCCTATTCTGATAAGACAGACAGAACCAGTAGCCACATGCACATGTTCAGTTTAGAGTGTATTGCTAGAGAGGTTTTTTTCTGGGAGAGTGCATGTGATCAGCAGAGGGCTAATCAGGACTGTCCAGACAGAGGTCAGGTGTTCTGCATCCTCCTAGAGCAGAATTAAAACTCCTCCTACAAGCTTTAACCAGTGCTTAGCTGAAGTCACAAGACTGCTCTAACTGCTGATGAGAAGAGGTATTTAGCAGTTTATATTGACTAAAATAATTTCAATTTCCATGTTGTGTGTACTGTGGGAGACCAGATATAGTGAATGCAGGGTCCGGGGAGACCAGATATATAGTGAATGCAGGGTCCTGGGAGACCGGATATAGTGAATGCAGGGTCCGGGGAGACCAGATATAGGAATGCAGGGTCCGGGGAGACCGGATATAGTGAATGCAGCAGTCCGGGGAGACCGGATATAGTGAATGCAGGGTCCGGGGAGACCGGATATAGTGAATGCAGGGTGCGGGGAGACCAGATATAGTGAATGCAGGGTCTGGGGTTTAGTAACGCTTTAACCGCTTCCCTCCTGCCATATAAGGAAATGATGGGCGCAAGGTGGTTCTCTCGCTCTGGGAGGACCCCGGAGGCGTGCAGCGTGGCGATCGGTGGTGTGCTGTGACCCTGGGACACAGTGGATCACCGATCAACGGAAAGAGCCAAAGACGTCAGCTCTGTCATGTGATAAGCTGTGTCCAATTACAGCTGTTCGCTTTTAAATAAGGGAATGCCAGTTATCGGCATTCCTCTCCTCATGAGCGATCACGCTGAAAAAGAAATAAAAACTAAGAACATTGCTGGGAATACTACCTATATACAAAAGGATGTGTGTTTTTATGACCCGTGCAGTTATTTGTGGCTTTCTGCCTCTATATATAGCCTCAAATTTCAATGTAAAGGTAATAGTATTAAAATCAAATTGAACTCTTGTTAAAAAACAAAAACTATTGGCAATAGCTTCCTTGTTCATTAGAACTGTAAGTGATCTGAGTCGTATCATTCGCTCATGGGCTTACAAAAAGTCTACCTCCACCAGGGCCTTTTTTTCTCAAAAAATAGGTACAGGAACGCCCCCCTTCTGAGTCACTTCTCTCTGTCCCCTACCCACCTCTGAGCACCGTCACTTGGTTCCACCTCCTACTCACCTCCGAGCAGCGTCACTTGGTTCCACCTCTGAGCACCGTCACTTGGTTCCACCTCCTACTCACCTCCAAGCAGCATCACTTGGTTCCACCCGCTACCCACCTCTGAGCATCGTCACTTGGTTCCACCTCCTACCCACCTCTGAGCACTGTCGCTTGGTTCCACCTCATACCCACCTCTGAGCACCGTCACTTGGTTCCACCTCCTACTCACCTCCTCCGAGCAGCGTCACTTGGTTCCACCTCCTCCACCTCCGAGCACCGTCACTTGGTTCCACCTCCTACTCACCTCCAACTCCGAGCATCACTTGGTTCCACACCCTACCCACCTCTGAGCATCGTCACTTGGTTCCACCCCTACCCACCTCTGAGCACTGTCGCTTGGTTCCACCTCCTACCCACCTCTGAGCACCGTCACTTGGTTCCACCCCCTTACTCGTCACCTCCGAGCACCGTCACTTGGTTCCACCCCCTACCCAACTCCGACCTCCGCACCGTCACTTGGTTCCACACCCTACCCACCTCCGTGCACCGTCACTTGGTTCCACCCCCTACCCACCTCCGAGCACTGTCACTTGGTTCCACCCCCTACTCACCTCCGAGCACCGTCACTTAGTTCCACCTCCTACCCACCTCCCAGGGCCATGACTTTTAGAGAATACAGAACCAAGTATCATTTTGTGGTGCTAAATAATTTGTATGGAATTTGTTATTAATAACAAGAAAAGCAGAAAATTAGATCCCCCGCAGCCAGCAGCAACAGCCACCCACCAGCAATAATTGGTCCCCATGACAAAATACCACCCCAGCAACAATAGACCCCTAGCAGCTACAACAGATCTCTCAGCAGCCAGCATCAATAGATTCTCCAGCCGCTATCAACAATGGACAATAGACCCTTCCCTCAACAGTAGATTCCTTCCACCAACGATTAACCTCCATCAACAATAGACCCCCCACCAGCAACAATAGACCTCACCAGCAACAATAGACCAACACAAAATAATAGATCACCTATAGTGACAATGGAACACCCAGCAGCCAGCAACAATAGATCCTCCAGCACCCCTTGCCATTACATGCATTCAAAACTGAGTTCCCCCACATTTCTGCTGAAAAAGGCCCTGATCCTCACCAGCATTCAGTAGAGCTGGGCCACTATGCTCAATGTGTAAGCAGTGGTCTCTCTGCTGCAGTCTGAAATGCAGTACATTAAAGCTAGAGCCTTCCCCTTGGAAAGCTTACATTTCCTGCTGAGCAGAGACCTCAAGGTTTGACTCACAGGGAGGGAATGTCAGACTGAAGCAGAGAGACCTCTGCTTACACACAGAGCAGACAGTCCTTCTCTGCTGCATGACAGCTGGGAATTAGCTTTTACTACTGTGGGGCTGCTGTTTTACTATCTAGAGGAAAGGTAAGCCTCTGCTCACCCCATCTAATGAACAAGGACGTTATTGCTAGCTTTTTTTATGTGTGGGGGTCCATCTGGGCCCTTGCATAGCAATTATACGGTATACCTTTATTTAGCATGATGGTAATAAACAGAGGTGTGTAGGGATGTGCAAATGTTGGTTGTGTACCAAGAGTAATATAACCATTATATATTTTCATAAATGATGCGTTACAATATAGGACAATATTTAAAGTGTTATTAAACCCTGAACCCTGCATTCACTATATCTGGTCTCCCCGGACCCTGCATTCACTATATTCAGTCTCCCCGGACCCTGCATTCACTATATCTGATCTCCCCGGACCCTGCATTCACCATATCTGATCTCCCCGGACCCTGCATTCACTATATCCGGTCTCCCCGGACCCTGCATGCACTATATCTGGTCTCCCCAGACCCTGCATTCACTATATCCGGTCTCCCCTAACCCTGCATTCACTATATCTGGCCTCCCCGGACCCTGCATTCACTATATCTGGTTTCCCCGGACCCTGCAGTCACTATATCTGGTCTCCCCGGACCCTGAAGTCACTATATCTGGTCTCCCCGGACCCTGCATTTACTATATCAGGTCTCCCCGGACCCTGCATTTGTAAGGGTGTGGAGGCATGAAATACTGATGTGTAATGTTAAACTGTAATATGCCTGCAATATGCTCTTTGGTCAGTAGATGGCAGCAAAGTACAAGAATCGATTTTGCAGTGACTTTTGCTAAGACAAGATAAATGCCTATTTACCCTATAAATTTTAATGAATACTAATTTAGGGGCCGAGTAGGACCCTCAGAAGGGTCATAGTGAACTGTAAATACAGGTTTGAGGCTGCAATTAAGAAAAGACTTACTGTATCACAAACTCTATGGGAAGGGGAGGAGTTCCGGTGCAGAAGAGGAAGTGACAGGAAGTCTGTGTCTGGCTGGTATATGCTGAGGACGTCTGGAGAATCTGTGTGGGGCCTGGAAGAGGATTTACGTCTCACAGTGGAGTCTGGCGACGGCACCTAGGGAAGATTCACCAAAACAAGACCAGGAAACAAGTGACTGTATGGTCCGGTTCTGGAGTGGATCAGGAAAAAGCACCAAGAGCCTGCCAGGGAACTGTAAGTGCGGCTTTGCCGCAGCATATCGCACCACACGTGTTCAGTGACATTTTGGATATACCAGAAAGTTACAAGAGACACACTCCGCTTTCCTTTGGATTACAAATAGTATTGCGCAATACGTAGGGTGCACCCCAATGTTATATCTTGCTCAGGAACATTCAGGCGCAGCCAGGCTGCTTTCTGGACATTGGGGAAAGTCTGCAAGTACGGGGTTAGTGTTAGACAGTATTATTCTTACTGTATGGTTATGCGCTGTTATCATTCTGTTTACGTATGCTCAGCTACATGATCACTATAACTGTTCAGTAAATGTAATTGTTTTAAAAGAACCGCTGTCTGTGTCTGTGTGGCATCGTGTACCCTCTGAATCTGTGGGCCCAGCCCTCGGCTTTCCTTCACATTCACTATATCTGGTCTCCCCAGACCCTGCATTCACTATATCCGGTCTCCCCGGACCCTGCATTCACTATATCTGGCCTCCCCGGACCCTGCATTCACTATATCTGGTTTCCCCAGACCCTGAAGTCACTATATCTGGTCTCCCCGAACCCTGCATTCACTATATCTGGTTTCCCCGAACCCTGTATTCACTATATCTGGTCTCCCCGGACCCTGCATTCACTATATCCGGTCTCCCCGGACCCTGCATTCACTATATCTGGTCTCCCAGGACCCTGCATTCACTGTATCCGGTTTCCCCGGACCCTGCATTCACTATATCTGGTCTCCCCGGACACTGCATTCACTATATCTGGTCTACCCGGACCCTGCATTCACTATATCTGGTTTCCCCGGACCCTGCATTCACTATATCTGGTCTACCACAGTACACAGTACATGGAAATGCAATTATTTTAGTAAATATTAATACTAAATACCTTTTCTCATCAGCAGTATATAGCAGTCTTGTGACTTCTATCAATGTCCAGCTGAGCACTAGTTATTCTTGCAGGAGGAATTTTCATTCTCCTGTGAATGTCCTTTGAGGTTGCATGACCCCTGATCCTCAGTCTGGACAATACTGATTGGCCCTGTGCTGATCACATGCACCCTCCCAAAGAAAATTTTTTTTAGCAATACACACCAATCTAAGCATGTGCAGAGTGCCTCCTAGGGCTCTGTACTATCATCAAATAGACTGGGGACAGTAGAAGAAGAGGAGGATCAGAGAAGACAGGCTCAAACAGCATTTTTACACATTGCAGAGAATTAACCCCTTAGGTTCCACAGTGAGTATAACAAGCAGGCTTTACTGCATCTACAGACTGATGTTACTGTTGTGGGTCTAGTAACACTTTAAGTTTTCAAAATGGAATATGTTTGACATAAAGATGATGATGTATGCACATGCTGGTTTGGATTTGGGTGGATCCCCATAGAAAATATGCTGAAGTGACTTTTCTTCATTAGAGATACTAACTTGCTTGGAGTCCTTGTTTGTGCACATATTGGACCCTTATTCATTGAACACCTCTGTATCACAGATAGAAAGGGGTATATATTGCATAGCAAGGTAATGATAACCAGAGCAATGGGATAGAATACGAGACAGAATTTTTATTATATTGCTGTTTAATTCATAAATTCCCTTTTTGCTGCTCTAAAGTAGCACAGAAACAGAATGAGACCTGACCCTGACCACTCCATAAAGGATAACTTCACTTTTCGTAACATGTTACACCCACATTCTCCCGTGAATGTCCTTTGAGGCTGCGTGACCCCTGACCCTCTGTCTGGACAATACTGATTGGCCCTGTGCTGATCACATGCACCCTCCCAAAGAAGAAAAAATCTTTTTAGCAATATGCACCAATCTAAGCATATGCAGAGTACCTCCTAGGGCTCTGTACTATCATCAGATGGATTGGGGACAGTAGAAGAAGAGAAGAATCAGAGAAGACAGGATCAAACAGCATTTTTACACACTGCAGAGAATTAACCCTTTAGGTTCCACAGTGAGTATAACAAGCATGATTTACTGCATATACAGACTGATTTTACTGTTGTGGGTTTAGGGTGTAACAAGTTACACCCCTGATCCCCTGTTGTGACAGCTAACTTCTCACCTGATAGCTGTCACAATTTGTTTTAAAAAGTGACTGGGTAGGGCTCCCCCCCCCGGGTGGGGCTCCCCCCGCCCGGACGCATCACTCATTCACAGTATTCTGTGAATGGGAAAACTGCAAGTCCTTTGCAGCTGTAACTCTCAATGAACTGCCAAGGTGCTGCTGAGCAATGTGGTGCTGCTGAGCTCATTGGCTCTCCCTGTCAGTGTGACATGCCTGCCTGTGCCATGTATGTGCACACTGACAGGCACATACTGATCTGCTGTTTGCTGGTGCAATGCTTTCCAGGTTCCCAATACACAAAATAGTAAATGCACATTTTTTTAAACCGGCAAATTATGTGCATTTATGATTTTTTTGTTAAAAAGTGAACTTATCCTTTAAGGATTAAATGAACTCTGAGAGCTGTGATTAAAAAAAGGAAGGCAAAAAACAACCAGTCACCAGTATTGCCTGTGGACTCCCTACAGCCGATATTCCACCATTACTGACATACGTCTTTGTAGCAGCAGGTCTTTCCTTCCCCGTGTTAGAGCCTCCAATACGGTGAAAAGTGAGCAGAACTGTAGGTGACATCACCAAACCTTTCTCCCAATCTGCTGCCTCTGACTGCTAGCGTCATCAGTGTCCTAAACCACATATGTCAGACACAAGGCTCACGGGCCGAATCTGGCCCCCCAGGCCATTTCATGAGGCCCTCGCACCTCTCCTGCAGCTCTGTCCCCAGCTTCTTCCCGGCAACAGCACATAGTAAGGGGGGTGCACCGTGATGTAAGGGAGGGTGAGGGACTCTTGACTCCTGATGATGGTGGTGGCTCTTGATATCTGATGGTGGGGGGGCTGTTGATATCTGATGTGGGGGGGGGGGGGTGTGCTCTGGACATCTTCTTAGATTTACTATGAGCATAATACAATGCTATGCCGGTTGAAAAAGAGGGTCACACAATGCTGGTACCAAGAAACTTCATTGGTGACTGCTCATACGGACACCAAGTCAGAAGCATGTTCTCTCTGAGAATTCTCCAATAAACATTCTTATGGATGAAACCAGAGGTGTGCGACCCTCCTTTTCAGACTTCCATTGTCTATTACAGAAGTGTGGGTGGGCTCTGCGCCTGCCCTTCACAGCTTAAAGCGGAGCTCCACCCAAAAGGGGAAGTTCCGCTTTAAGCCTTTGTCCCCCGCTCCCCATTAAGGATTGGCACCTTTGAGGAGCAGGTACCCAAATTTGACAGGTACCCGCTCCCACTTCCACTGTAAGGCCATCGGAAGTGGAAGTTGTCCTCCCCCACCCCTCCCCGTAGTCTTCTGGGACACGTGACAGGTGCCAGAAGATGATGGGGCCATTCATAAAGCGCAGCGCTTCTCGCACATGTGCAGTGGGCACCTGGCTGTGAAGCAGCAAGCTGTCACAGGTGGGTGCCCACACTGAAGATGCCGGCGTCAGGGAGAGAAGACGGCCGGTGAAACCAGCGGTGGTGAGGACATCGCAGGACCAAGGGACAGGTAAGTGACTGTATTTTAAAAGGCAGCAGCTACAGTTTTTGTATCTGCAGACTTTTTTTCTTTTTCAGCTGGAACTCCGCTTTAAGTCTTATTATTATTATACAGTATTTATAAAGCGCCAATAGTTTGCTCAGCGCTGTACATTACAAAGGGGGACAGAACAGGCGACAGTACAGTAACAATACAATGCAAAACATGAGGGGATTGAGGGCCCTGTTCCTTGGAGTTTACAATCTAGGAGGGAGGGGATAGTGGTACAGGAGGAGATAGCTGTGGGGGATGGAGTGGTAGGAAGAGTGGAGGAGGTCGGCAAATTATCAGGGGGTGGGGTAGGCTTCCCTGAAGAGATGGGTTTTCAGGGTGCGTCTAAAGGAGAGGAGAGTAGGTGATAGTCTGATGGGTTGGGGCAGGGAGTTCCTAGAGGATGGGTGACACCCTGGAGAAGTCCTGGAGGCGGGCATGGGAGGAGGAGACTAGGGAACTAGAGAGAAGGAGGTCTTGTGAGGAGCGGAGTGTGCGTGCTGGGCGGTACTTGGATATTAGGTCAGTGATGTAGTTCGGGACCGTATGGTGGACAGCTTTGTACATCAGTGTTAGGATTTTGAATTTGATCCGTTGCGCAATTGGAAGCCAGTGGAGGGATTGGCAGAGGGGGGTGGCGGAGACGGAGCGGTTGGAAAGGTGAATGAGTCTGGCAGCCGTATTCAGGATCGACTGAAGTGGGGATAGCCAGCGGCGAGGCAGGCCAGTGAGGAGGGAGTTGCAGTAATCGAGTCGTGATATGATGAAGTCTTAAGTTATGGCTAAATCCAGTAATACCGGTAATAGAAATCAGAGGCAATTATTTAATATGATAAAGAGTAGATACATTTATATGGGCTTACAGATACAACCGGCACTTTGAGGGCAACCATAATGCTGGTGCGGCTCGCAATGACCGCGTTTGCCAGCCCTGTCCTAGATGATCCTACACTGCAGATATACAGCTATGAAGCACTGAGCAAACTGTTGGCGCTATATAAATCCTGTATAATAATAATAATAATAATATAAATCCTGTATAATAATAATAATAATAATGAAACTTTGCGCACAGGAGTGCCTAGACACCCTCACATACCAAGAGGCGCAACGCTAGCAGGAATTCCACACAAGAGCAGGGTACTGCTCAGGCACAATTACATTTCTATAAGATAGAAAGTCTTCCCTTTTTTAGTTCAGTTCCACTTTAATTGGAGATGTGTCTGGAAATCTGTCTCAATTTCATGAAACTTTGTCTTATTTCCTGTGTTAATTCTATCGCAGACTTTTGCAAATATGTCTCAGTTGGCTGCCCAGGACTGCGGGTGTACGGATCACCAATACACAGAATACACACGTCACATGCTCTGCAGCCTGATTTGTATCTAATATTGGCACCAAGTTGCTTGATACGTGTCCTTCAAAGTTTACATGGAATAAACATGTCTACATTACCTGCAAGTCTGGCGTTAAGTAAGGAAGCAGCACCTAAACACAAGAAAACGTGATCATTTTAACTAGTTATAAGCAAACAGAATAGATATGTTTATATACAGCACAGTGGCTAAATGGTTAGCACTCCCGCCTGGCAGTACTCGGGTCGTTGGTTTGAATCCCGATCACGGCACCACCTGCCTGGAGTTTGCATGTTCTTACGGTGCCTGCGTGGGTTTCCTTTGGGTATTCTGGTTTCCTCCCACCCTCCAAAGACATGCTGGTAGGTTAATTGGCTCCTGTCTAAATTGTCCCTAGTATGTGTATGTATGAATGTAAGTTAGGGACCTTAGATTGTACACCCCTTGAGGGTTAGGGACTGATGTGAATGTACAATATATATGTAAAGCGCTGCGTGAATTGATGGCTCTATATAAGTACCTGAAATAAATAAAAATATACACTATATTGCCAAAAGTATTGGTCTGCCTGCCTTTACATGCACATCAACTTTAATGGCATCCCAGTCTTAGTCCACAGGGTTCTACATTGAGCATTTAATCTCTCAGGAACCCAGGTGACCATCCCAGTGTCCAGAGGAGGGAGATCCACATCAGGCCATATTCCAGCTTACCTTTAAAGGGGACCTCTGGCTGACTTCTTACCACCCCAGGCTCCAGAGGAGGGTTATCCATCCCAGGCTGTATTCCATTCTACCGTAGAGGGGACCTCTGGCTAATTACTACATATTAACATACTGCACACTTAAAATGCGCATCTGGTGAGTGTGCATTTTTACTATACCCCGCACGTCACCGGAATATTTGTTTACTACTGGGATAACAAGATTCACCTTTATCCAGATTACTGATATTTATTGGAACTCTCATTTATCTTTATTACATTTGTTTGGACTTTCTTAATTATTTATTTCTTTGATTATCCACCATGACATCATATTTCTCCGGATAATTAGCACTTTATTTAGGCATCATTTAGCACATATATATATATATATATATTTATTCCGGATCATCAGTACTGTATATCTAGCACTTTATATATCCTTGAGATTATAGTCATTTACGCATATCCAATTTAGTGCTGCACATATATATATTTATTTGTCATTTAGAAGGTATACGGTTTTCTTTTTAGTGTACTAGCTGCTATTAAGCGCTCGCTGAGTTCCCACTTTTACTCTTCTGGGAAGGCCGTCCACAAGGTTTAGGAGGGTGTCTATGGGAAGGTTTGGACCATTCTTCCAGAAGTGCATTTGTGAGGTCAGGCACTGATGTCGGGGGAGGAGGCCTGGCTCACAGTCTCCACTCTAATTCATCCCAAAGGTGTTCTATGGGGTTGAGGTCAGGACTCTGTGCAGGCCAGTCAAGTTCCTCCACCCAAACTCGCTCCTCCATGTCTTTATGGACCTTGCTTTGTGTACTGGTGTGAAGTCATGTTGGAACAGGAAGGGGCCATCCCCAAACTCTTCCCACAAAGTTGGGAGCATGAAATTGTCCGAAATGTCTTGGTATGCCGACGCCTTAAGAGTTCCCTTCACTGGAACTAGGGGGCCAAGCCCAACCCCTGAAAAACAACCCCACACCATAATCCCTCCTCACTTGGCACAATGCAGTCAGGCAAGTACCGTTCTCCTGGCAACCGCTAAACCCAGACACGTCCATCGGATTGCCAGACAGAGAAGTGTGATTGGTCACCCCAGGGAACACGTCTCCACTGCTCTAGAGTCCAGTTACAACATGCTTTACACCACGGCATCCCATGCTTTGCATTGCACTTGGTGATGTATGGCTTGGATGCAGCTGCTCGGCCATGGAAACCCATTCTATGAAGCTCTCTATGCACTGTTGTTGTGCTAATCTGAAGGTCACATGAAGTTTGGAGGTCTTTAGCTATTGACTCTGCAGACAGTTGGCGACTTCTGCGCTCTGTGCACTTCAGCATGCGCTGACCCCGCTCTGTCATTATACGTGGCCTACCACTTGGTGGCTGAGTTGCTGTTGTTCCCAGTTGCTTCCACTTTGTTATAATCCCACTAACAGTTGACTGGAATATTTAGTAGCCAGGAAATGTCACGGATGGACTTATTGCACAGGTGGCAACCTATCACGGGACCACGCTTGGAGTCACTGAGCTCCTGAGAGCGACCCATTCTTTCACAAATGTTTGTAGAAGCAGTCTGCATGCCTAAGGGCTTGATTGTATACACCTGTGGCCATGGAGGGATTGGAACACCTGAATCCAATGATTGGGAGGGCGGGCCCAATACTTTTGGCAATATAGTGTGTATGTATGTGTATATATTTATATATATCATTGTACTTCTATGGTCCTTGTCATTGGTATATTTTTCATATAGATCTAATCATTTAATAACATTCAGTACCCTATTTATTCTAGTCTATAGCTCCCTAAACTCTGTATTTTCCTGCCCTGGAACACAATATATTTCAAGGCAACAAAAATAAAAGATAAGATCACCTTCCTATTTCCTCAATTTCATTAGATGAGATATTCACTTGCATCCAAAGGGAGTATATAATAATCTTACTGCACTATATAAGACTCGGGGTGTCACATTTTATTTGTCTGAATCATGTAGATTTTATTTATTTCTTTTAAGACCCTGGTCACACTGAGTGCAACTTGGCATGTGATTTGCATGTCCTGTGACTTGCAAACCGCATGCCAAGTCACACCCTGTTGTCTGCAATTACAGCGGTCATATCGGTGCGATTCTGTCTTGGTCGGATTTTCAAAGTAGTACATGCACGACTTTTGGTGCGATTTGCATAGACATCTGTGTCAGGTGTCTTGCAAATCGTATCTAAAATCGGCATGTCCCCCGACTTTGAAATCGTGCGACTTCACTGTAAGCTTGATGTGAACGGGGTGTAAACATTGCAAGGATAAACTGCAGCTAACCAGCTAGAAACACAGGTGATTTATATTTGTAAACCATTATACCTGCACACCGATTTGGGATTCTGTTCAGCCAGTCTTGTGATTCAGATGCCCCTGCCAGACAGCTCACTACAGACTCTGTATGTACTGTGTAGCCAGTTGGGAGGATACTTACTCCGCAAGACAAATTCAGCCACCAGAACCCCTCCCGTCTGTTCCTTCTGCTGCCTTCGCTTGCTGCAGGTCTGACAATGATAAAAAGGAGATATTCACAGTCCATCAGGTTCAAGGGATTTTCAGCAGTTGCTCAGCAGTGTTTCTTGGAATGAGTAAAGAAGCTAATAGTTTGCAGCATAAAGTGTTTGTTTTTTATAAAGTGTTTATTTCTGTAATTAATAGACATTCACATTTTACACCAGTAATGCCTCACCGAAACCTATGGGGTGCATTTATAAACTATTTGCAGAGATATTCAGCCGATGAAACTGCTTGTACATTTGTTCTGCGCAAATGGGGGCAAAATCGCATGTTCTTAGGTGTTTTCCCTCCAGGTCCAAAGTTCTCCAGTTATACAGAAAAGAGTGACTCAAGAAAATTCTGCACTATGACCACTAGATGGGGCTGATGATCATAGAAAATATATTTTATTTATTTATTAAGATTTTATTATATTAAGATATTTTTTTTTAATTATTCTTATCTACTATGATCATCAGCTCCATCTAGTCACCATAATGGCCAAATTTTCTTTTCTGTATGGATGAGTCACTGTTCTGACATGGATTCTGTATGGATTCGCTCTGGTTGACCTGGAGACAAAAATAGCCTAATACCATTCGATTTGGTCCCCATTCCCACTCACTACATGCGTTTCAGTTGCTTTTTTTCTGCATCCAAAATGCACACAAAGTAGGTGATATGGTTGTTAATGTCATTGCATCAGTGATTGCAGTTCCAGGGTGTCCGGCTGCAGAAAAAAAAGTAGAACAGGCTGCATTTTTCCTGCACAGAACTGAAACGCACATGTCCCTATTTAAATCAAAGAAAAAGAGAGGGGGAAAAATGAACCGGAAAGCATCAAAAATGCATCAAAAACTCACTGGAACGCACCAAATCCACACAGGAATGCACATTTTTCTATTTAAATCGAAGAAAAAGAAAGGGAAAAAATTAACCGGAAAGCATCAAAAATGCAACGGAACACAAAAAATGCATAAAAAAACGCACCGGAAACCATCAATAATGCATCAAAAACACACTGGAACGTTTAAAAAAATGCTAAAAATGCACCGGAACGTACCAAAACCGCACTGGAATACACATGTCCCTATTTGAATCAAAGAAAAAGAGAGGGGGAAAAAAGAACTGGAAAGCATCAAAAACTGCACCGGAACGCGTCAAAAGTGCATAAAAAACGCACCAGACCACACCAAATCAGCACGGGAATGCACATGTCCCTATTTAAATCGAAGAAAAGAGGGGAAAAAATTAACTGGAAAGCATCAAATATGCACCGAAACAAATAAAAAAATGCACCAGAAAGCATCAAAAATGCATCAAGAACGCACCAAAACTGCACTGGAACGCACATGTCCCTATTTAAATTGAAGTAATAGGGAGAGGGGGGAAAAAATTACCCAGAAAGCATCAAAAATGCAATGGAACGTGCCAAAAATGCATAAAAAACACACCGGAATGCACCAAATCCGCACGAGAATACACATGTCCCTATTTGAATCGAAGAAAAAGAGAGGGGAAAATATGAACTAGAAGGCATCAAAAAGCACCAGAACCCATAAAAAAGAACGCTTCAATAATGCATCAAAAATGCACCGGAACACATCAAAAATGCACGGAACGCACCAAAACCGCACTGGAATGCACATGTCCCTATTTAAATTGAAGAAAAAGAGAGGGGGAAAAAATTAACTGGAAAGCCTCAAAATACGCCCCGAAAAAATAAAAAATGCACCGGAAAGCATCAAAAATGCATCAAGAACGCACCAAAACTGCACTGGAACGCACATGTCCCTATTTAAATTGAAGTAATAGGAGAGGGGGGAAAAATTACCTGGAAAGCATCAAAAAAAAAAGCAATGGAATGTGTCAAAAATGCATAAAAAAAAACGCACCGGAATGCACCAAATCCGCACGAGAATGCACATGTCCCTATTTGAATGAAAGAAAAAGAGAGAGGAAAATATGAACTAGAAGGCATCAAAAAGCAACGGAACCCATAAAAAAGAATGCTTCAATAATGCATCAAAAATGCACAGAACGCACCAAAACCGCACTGGAATGCACATGTCCCTATTTAAATTGAAGAAAAAGAGAGGGGGAAAAAATTAACCGAAAAAAAAACATAATAAAAAATGCAGCAGAACATGTCAAAAATGCATCAAAAACACACTGGAACGCACCAAATCCGCACGGGAATGCACATGTCCCTATTTAAATCGAAGAAAAAGAGAGGGGAAAAAATGAACCGGAAAGCATCAAAAACGCACTGGAACACAAAAAAAATCAAAAACACACTGGAACGCATCAAAAATGCACTGAAACGCACCAAATCCGAAAGAGAATGCACATGTCCCTATTTAAATCAAAGAAACAGAGAGGGGAAAAATGAACAAGAAAACATCAAAAACGCATCGGAACACATAAAAAACCACACTGGAATGCACATGTCCCTATTTAAATTGAAGAAAAAGAGAGGGGGAAAAAATGAACCGGAAAGCATCAAAAACGCACAAAAAAAAAATACAAAAAGCATCCGGAACGCACCTTAACTGCGTTTCCATAGTGTGAATCAGCCCCGAGTGTCATTTTCAGACAATAAAACTTACCACTGGGCAGGAAAACTTTTCGCTGTCGCACAGGAAGGTCTCACAGTGCAGCCAGACCTTGGACAGTTTGGGAACATTCTGGAAGCGGAAGGCGTTAAACTGGAAGGTGGCCCGGCTGTTCTTCCCGTTTTCATGCACCAGAATGGTGTCATCCGAGGCGCACCTGGTACCAGAAATTGCCATTAATACAAAAGCGTAAAACTCGCCCAGATAGGAAGAAACGCACACTGCGGAAAGGTGGATTGGCTGTGATGGGCAATGCCCACACAGTCCCTGTTCTGCACATACACTCTGTGGTTTACATGGAAGATACTTACCCTTTACTGATGAGCTGCCACTGAATATGGTAAGCATAGTCAGGAGCCGGAGTGGCCCAGCAATAGTTCAGCACCACCTTGAACCTGTAAAATACACACAGAATAGGTTATAGTGAAGTGTTGATCCTTTTTAGCTCCATCTAGTGGGCATAATGTGGTATTTTCCCCAGTTACCTTAATGAGGAAAATACTGCATGATGACCACTAGATGGAGCTAACAAGCATAGAAAATAAATATATTAGGCCAATTACTGGGATTGTTCGTGACAACACTTTTTTTTTATACATGAGCCCCATGGTGTACTAAGATATAGTACTTGCAGGTAACTACAGAATAGTGAACATCATAGGCAGTGATAGGCAACTTCAGCGCTCGAGCTGTTATAGAACTACAAGTCCCAAGAGGCATTACAAGGCTTTGACAGCCTCAGGCATGACTCCCAGGAGAGGCGAGATGATGGGATTTGTAGTTTCAGTTCAGCTGGAGTGCCAAGGTTGCCTACCCCTGATCATAGGTATCAGAATGAGGGCTGCTACAGCTTAAATGGAACATGTATTTTTTTTTTTTTATATGTATTCACTTTATAAGTTGTAAACCCTACCTCCAGACCAGGGGCGGACTGACAACTAATGGGGCCCCCAGGCAATAGGGGATCATGGGGCCCCTCATGGGCCCCCGGGCAATAGAGGATCATGGGGCCCCTGTGTCCTTGCCCAAACTCAAAAAAATCTATGAAAAAGGTACTAGGGGCATCTCATGGGGCCCCCTACTGACCCCGGGCCCACGGGGCAGTGCCCGAGTTTCCAAATGGTCAGTCCGCCCCTGCTCCTGACAGTATTAAAACCATTACCTATGCTCCTCCACCCCAGATCTATTTTTAGATGGGATAGGACAAAACAATATATTACTTATCCTAATCCACAGCTTGACTGTCTTCCTTGTAGCCAATTCTAGCTGTGATCAGGGGCGGACTGACCATTTGGAAACTTGGGCACTGCCCGAGGGCCCGGGGTCAGTAGGGGGCCCCCATGCCCCTGGTACCTTTTTCATTGGCTTTTTTGAGTTTGGGCAAGGACACAGGGGCCCCACGATCCCCTATTGCCCGGGGGCCCCATGAGATGTCAGTCTGCCCCTGGGTGACAACCGGCCCCACAAAGCCGTTCTATTTTCTGGTCCCCAACTGGTTCCTTTTTCTGACATTATCATGTACAATGCAGGACCAGTGGCCACATCCCATCCTAATGACATGGGCGTAGGTCCTGCATTGTACGTAATGATGTAGGAGTGCTTGTCCACATTCTGGCACTGGAGAAGAGATGACCAGACCATGTATTATATCATCCCCCAGATCAAATGAATAACAGATCCTTCATCAGATATTTTTGATGATCTTGTTATTGCCCAGAGTTCAGTTTTAAGACTAAAAAAATAAATGAATCGATTCTTGACATGTTTACCTGGCTATTCTTAACTGCTTTGCTGAAAAACTCTTGGGGGTAGATTTACTAAGGCTGGCCATACACTATACAATTATCTGTCCAATTTCTGCCCAATTTCCTTTAGATTTACCTTAAACTATGTAGTGCAAGAGCCGCCTAATTGGATACAGTTGAAAGTGTTGTTTAGGTTTGACCTCCTATTTATGGTTTTCGGTAAATCTAAACCAAAAATCTCAAGAAAATTGTATAATGTATGGCCAGCCAAAAACTGGTTCACTCAGAATCTGCTGCAGCTGTGCATGGTAGCCAATCAGCTTCTAACCTCAATTAAGCTTTGACAATAAAACCTGGAAGCTGATTGGTTTCTATGCAGAAGTTCACCTAATTTTGCACCCGCCAGCTTTAGTAAATCAACCTCTTGGTGGCGATGCTGAATGGTGCATGAATAAGGCTGCGTTCACACTAGCTTTGTCAGGAGGCATCAGACAGGCTTTTGGGAAGCGTTTTTAACGCTTCTCAAACGCCTATGAAAATTCTGCACATGGCAGCACACAGTGCTGTTCACACGGAAGCTTTAGCGTCACGTCGCGGCAAAACTGACGCCTCGTGTCGAGTCAGGAGGAGTTGAAGCCTCCCATTCAAGTCTATGGTGCCTGGCAGGCATTTGCGGTGCGGTTGCGACGCGGTTGCAAAGCTTAATACCATTTAACTTCATTATAGGCGTTTGTGGTGCGGTTTTAACGCTTGGCAAACACCTATCAACTGCCTCAAAACCGCACATAGGGCGTTTTGGGAGCGTTTGAGGAGCGTTAAAAACGTTTCCCAAACGCCTGTCTAACGCCTGTCTAACACCTGTCAAACGCTATAGGGGTGTTTGGCAAGAGTTAGAAATACAGTGAAGTGTGAACGAGCCCTAAAGTTACTCACAGCTGAATTATCAGTAATGTGACAACAGTTGCAGTCAAGCTTAACCCCAGGTTGACACCTAAGCAGGGGCAGACTGACAACTCATGGGGCCCCCGGGCAATAGGGGATCAGGGGCCACTGTGTCCTTGCCCAAACTCAAAAAAGCCTATGAATAAGGTACCAGGGGCATCTCATGGGGCCCCCTACTGACCCCGGGCCCTCGGGCAGTGCCCGAGTTTCCAAATGGTCAGTCCGCCCCTGCACCTAAGTGTTTTCCGCAGCATTTTGTAGAAACGCAGTACAGTCCATTTAACATGATTTCCTATGGGACACGTTCACATCTCCACGTTTTCACCCGGTGCTTTTTTTGGAAAGGGTCAGGAACTTTTTTGAACGCAAAAAGTTGCATTTTTGGTTCTATAGACTTCAATGGAAACACTGCAGAAAAGCATGTAGTGTGTTTTTGCCTCGTTCTTGATGCATTTTTGACGTGATTTGTTTTTAAATCTGCCTAGCAGCAAGAAAAAGAAAAAAAAAAGGAAAAAAAAAAAAAAAAAAAAGCAAAATGCATCAAAAGCGCAGCAAAAATGCAGGTGTAAAAAGGCAATGCAGGAACAGGTCAAACACAACCTTGCATAGGTGTGAACCCAGCCGAAGTGTTTTTTACATGGGATTACATTTCCTATTCCCAATAAGGCAACAATGGTTTGCTGTACCTGCTGCTGATTCCTTTGGCTTCGACTCCAGCGTAGACATCGGAGCCGATATCTGATGTCTCCACAACAAACGGAGCTTCTTTTTGGGTGGAAAACTTGGCATTCTTTCCAGAAAAATAAAAGCGACCAAACACATGCAATAAAGTTTCATGTTATTCCAGAATTCTAATAGGTAATAAACATATGATCCTGTGTAGAGGCCACTGAATCATTATCAGTTTGGCTCAGATATTAAACCTCTATACAGGGCAAGCACATGACTGGAGGAACTGAGGGGCAGCACAGTGGCTAAATGGTTAGCACTTCCCCCTGGCAGTACTAGGGTCATTGGTTCAAATCCCAGCCATGGCACCACCTGCCTGGAGTTTGCATGTTCTCCCTGTGCCTGCATGGGCTACCTCCCACACTCCAAAGACATGCTGGTAGGTTAATTGGCTCCTGTCTAAATTGGCCCTAATATGTATGAATGTGAAGTTAGGGACCTTAGAATGTACACCCCTTGAGGGTTAGGGACTGATGTGAATGTACAATATATATGTAAAGTGCTGCGTAAATTGACGGCGCTATATAAGTACCTGAAATAAATAATAAGATCATATTTATACTACGTTTGGGTTGGGCCCCGAGGAAGAGACTCAAGCTTCAGCCTTGGTGTACACCGCTGCGACTTCAGGTGCGACGTGGAATGTACAAATCGCACCTGAAGTTGCATCTAATGTATTTCTATGGCACTGTCTTATTCAATGCGATTTGAAATAAAGCCGTTTCAAAAATAGTTCCTGCACTACTTTTTTTGATTTCATTGTGACCTGCATTGACTTCTGGTAAATGAAGTCACAAGCCGCAGTGAAATCGAGGTACAAATCGCACTGATCTGCGGCTTTGAAATCTCGCTACTTCAAGTGAAGTAGCGCAATTTCAAAGTTGCATTCAGGGTGAACCAGAGCTTATGGTCATTTTGTTGGAAAAACATATGAAGGCACAACAAGCCAAATACCCAATTCTATGTGAAAAATAGATTGTGACTGCAAATGCTTGCTTAAAGCATGACACCAGCCAAAACTTTCTAAGTCTAGAGCAGTATGTGCAGCTCACAGTACATTAGCACGGTGGTCAGTGGGAAGAATGCTCCTTACATTGGTGGTCAGGGGAAGAATGCTCCTTACATTGGTGATCAGTGGGAAGAATGCTCCTTACATTGGTGATCAGTGGGAAGAATGTCCCTTACATTGGTGATCAGTGGGAAGAATGTCCCTTACATTGGTGGTCAGGGGGAAGAATGCTCCTTACATTGGTGGTCAGTGGAAGGAATGTTCCTTACATTGGTTGGTGATCATGTTCCTTACATTGGTGGTCAGTGGGAAGAATTTTTGTTACATTGGTTGTCAGGGGGAAGAATGCTCCCTACATTGGTGGTCAGGGTAGAAATGCTCCTTACATTGGTGGTCAGGGGTAGGAATGCTCCTTACATTGGTGGTCAGGGGTAGGAATGCTCCTTACATTGGTGGTCAGGGGTAGAAATGCTCCTTACATTGGTGGTCAGGGGAAGAATGCTCCCTACATTGGTGGTCAGGGGTAGGAATGCTCCTTACATTGGTGGTCAGGGGTAGGAATGCTCCTTACAATAATGGTCAGTCGGAAGAATGCTCCTTACATTAGTGGCCAGTTGGAAGAATGCTCCTTACATTGGTGGTCAGGGGTAGGAATGCTCCTTACAATAATGGTTGGTGGGAAGAATGCTCCTTACATTAGAGGCCAGTGGGAAGAATGATTCTTACATTGGTGGTCAGGGGTAGAAATACCCCTTGCAATAATGGTCAAAGAACCCAATAGTGGCCAGTTGCAATAAGGGGTGGTCAGTGGTCAGGGGTAAGAATGCTCCTTACAATAATGGCCAGTCCTTACATTAGAGGAAAGAATGCTCCTTACATTGGTGGTCAGGGGTAGAAATGCCCCTTGCAGGGTAGGAATGCTCCTTACATTGGTGGTCAGGGGTAGGAAATGCTCCTTACAATAATGGTCGGTGGGAAGAGTGCTCCTTACATTAGTGGCCAGTGGGAAGAATGCTTCCTTCATTGGTGGCCAGTGGGGAGAATGCTCCTGATAGTGCCTTCCTCTAGCTGGGCTGCTAGGTTACATTTAGTTTTTGGCTCCACGGTAGTGAGTGGAGCAGTGATTGATTGGGCTGGTCTATTCAGGGTGTCCTGAGCTGAGAGTTTGATTCCTCCCACCTGCCTCTGAAAGAAGCTTCCAGAGTATAGAGCAGGGATAATCAAGTGATCATTTGAATATTTATCATGCTCCAACCAATCCCTGGAATGAGACATCCAGAAGGTGGTTGAGGAGATGATAAACGTGCAGGAGGCCTGAACAGAGTGTTCATCTCCCTCCAGGGAGGATTTCAGCTCTTTTGGGGCTGCTGCTCACCATGAGGGCAGCTCTGCCAAGACAAGAAATGCACCCGTGAAGCCTTTAGTATCTTTCCTGTGATAGTGTTTGCAACATATTCTTCAAGCTCCATGGTTTCCTACTTTGTTCCCGTGCCTTGGACTTCACCTTTGCCTGATCCCTACCCTGTCACCTTGGTTGGATTTTCTTGTTATCGACCTTGGATTGGACTTTGACTACCCTCTGGACTCAGTCTGCCTTGTGACCCCAGATTTAACCCTGACTACTCTCTGAACTCTGCCCGCCTTGAACCCGGACTGCCACTGCACCACTTTGCCTGTATGTCAACCCCAAGTACCCGTTTTCTGCGCATAGCTCACTCCTGCCCCAGCATGGTGGCCAGGCAATAAAGCATTGCGTATAAGACCTGGGGGAAACTGAGTACTGGTAGGCCTGCTTGCCTTATGGGAAAGAAGGCTGCTGTAGGCGAAGAACACTGAACCAGCTATGGTATCTGACCACCAACGCTAGGGGTAAGCTTTACATTATCACAAGCAAGACACTAAAGGTTTGGCAGGCTTAAAACAGGTTTGCACACCACTCCTTGGCAATCACCCTTCAGATAGACAGTCAGACAGGGAAAGTGCAGCTCAGCCAAAACCACAATGCTGGAATAAGACCTTTAGCTTGCATGGGTCAGGAGCATTACACGCTTCTGACAAATGCTCCTTACATTGGTGGTCAGTGGAAAGAATGCTTTTCAGATACATAAAGAGATGGTTGATGCCAGTGGTTACTTATCTGAGAGAAAAAAGCTACTTGTTGCCCAAGGAAATCCTAGCAACCTCTGAAAGAACCTTAGAGTTCCATGGGCACTGGCTAAGAAAGGCTGGTTTCTAGCATTAAAGGATTAGACCTTTTATTAGGTTTTTTATTACTTTGTTCTTTGTGGGGAGATTTGTTTTTAATGCATGTCTCAAAGTCATGGTACCTAACTGAAATTAAATGAAAATCTGTTTGAAGGAAGGAGAAATCCCAGTTTTAAATATATCACGTGTCCTCATTGGAAGTCACCCCCCCAACTTTTGGAGCTCCCCTGCTTTTTCTCCCATTGTATAATGCTCACTATTTCTAATATGAAGACACAATGAATCTCTGCAATGAGGACCCAGGCAGCACTAAATACCCAACAAAGATTTTTACCAATCCCCACTTCAGCTGAAACTAGGAAAAAAAACATTTTGGCTGCAATTTTAATTTTGATAAGCCAGTGTAACAGTTACCATAAGCCTAGGAAGGGCCTTCTTGGAGAACATTGCACTCTCAGCCATCAAGAATTTAGGATTGCAGGTTGAACCCTAAGGTACTGCTTTCCTTAATGATTGTATAATGCAGATTGGAGTAGTTAACTTGGATAATATTGTCTAGTGCCCATATGCATTTTAATATTTTGTATATGTTTGTGAAATAAGAGGTTTTCTACTAGACCTTGAACTCGAACAAAATATAATAGTTGCAGTCATGTCAACATCTACCATGTCTAAACTGCCATGCCATGACTAAACCTATTGTGCAATGGAAAGTCTATCCTATCTCCCTATAGCTGACAGAGGGACTACATGAACATATAAAGGGATTTGAGCTCATGGCTTTTGTCTGTTGAAGATTTACTTTTGATTTTAGGTAGTTGCCTCCATTTTGAAGCATACGAACTGAAGCAATAAGGACCAACCACTTTGATACATGCAAAAAAAATTCCTGCCCAAGGGTAGCCTACCCATAAATCTTGGCTTGACTCTCTTTTTAAACATATCAATAGACCCAAAAGTCACTCAAAGTGATCCTTCTGATTGGCCAAAGAACCAACTGGATGGACCTTGCCTGATTTGCCCTCAAGAGAGGCCAAAATGCCAAAATGAAAGTCAGAAGGAGAGGAAGCTCTGAAAGACTCACAGAGTAGAAATTGAGAGACAGTTGGGTTTCAAAGGATCCTGAGCTCCCGTTCTTCACGTGAACTGTGGCTACTCTAGAAGTAGGAAAAAAATATGTAAGACTAAAACATACATGAGTGAGATGTGTCTGGCTAATTCTGACTCAAAATGAGCTGTGCTGTAGGGAGAAGACTCACCTTTGGTCAAAAGCCGCATGAGTGACCAAATAGTTGGACTGGTAAGTGCAGGTGAAGGAGTAGTTCACAGGCTGGTTTTTCACAATCAGGGTGCTGTCGTTGGACACTATTGAGTTGTAGAAATGATAGATTGGGTTCTTGAACTGGGAAGCAAGTTCAGAGTGATAAATTGTAACTCTTTTTCCAATTATAACCTAAATCATGTCTAAAATAGTTAATTATTTTACGACTTTACCTATTCTTACCACTTCTTACACGGAAAATTAATGTACAATGTTGAGTCTTAAAGTAGTTATGGAAATGGTATGAAAGATCATTGATGGTTGATGAGTTCCATTTGTTTTAGCTTGTGATTTTAGAGATTCCTGATCTCATAAAGACAAACTTCACACTTATCCAATTCCCTGCAGACATTGTATTTTGAGTAGAAATCCCATTCAGTATTAATAGAAAACGAAATTAGGGGATTTTTGTGTTGTCTTAATTTTGGGTAAATTCTGGAATTTTTGCAGACGTTTTTGCCATTTCAGCAAAATGCATTGGAGTCAGTGAGAAATCAAAGTGGTTTTCAGTAGTGGGCCAACAATCAGATTTTTTAAGTCCAAAGGCCCCATGTCATGAGAATGTTAATTAATCTTGCGGCAGAGAACTAGGAGTGTGCAACTGTGTGTGTTCCTAGTTTTCAGTTAAGTCAAGTTAACTGACACATACCAATGCTGCAAAACTTGGTCTGGGCGTCTAAGTTTCAAAAAAGTTCTTGTCCCAAAAAGGTTAATAAGGTTTCAGGGGTGAAAGCTATTGACATCGGATCTTTATGTATTTTGACAGTATTGTGTTGCAGCCCACCTGTCCCAAATGTACTTAAATTACTTTATTTCTATCTTTCTCATTGCATTTCTAATTCTCTTCCTATCAGCCCCTCAGAATAATACAATGCCTATCACCCCTGACTCACTGTCAACCTCAACACCTGGGGGCATATTTTTAAAACGCTGAAACTGACATTCAACACACATTTACTACATGTGAATCTTCCATACTTACATCGGACTGTGTTCCACAGTATGTTTTATTTCTGGGTGACAGGTCCGGAATGGAAAATTGATAGTAACCAGACTCAATAATGCCGTTATAACACACTCCACCTAGGGCCAGCTGGCTAATCTCCCATCCATAGGGGCACTCTGGAATTTTAGCCACAATAGACTTAGGATAACAATGTACTATGATCACATCTGGAACAAAAAAAAACACAACAAAAAATATCAGTTTTCTGCAGTGCACAAAACTACTGAAAAGACACTTTCATTTAAAATACAGTGACACCTAGATAGCTGCACCTAACTTACCTCAACCTAATCAACTAATGCAAGAAAAAAACAACTCAAGGTTTCTGTGCTCTAGTTTTCACAAATCAAGTCAGATTTTTTTTTTCCCTGTTTCCTGTGCTTTGCAAACAAATATTTTTAATCTGCAGTAGAAGGTTATTGTTTTTATATGGGATTATGACACGCTGTGTGTCTCTCTCTGGGTACAATATAATGATATAAGGTAGAGTAGAGAGGAGTGTAGTGAACTGGAGTAGAGTAGAGTAGAGTAGAATGTAGTAGAGCAGTGAAGAGTGAAGTGAAGTAGAGTGAAGGGGGGTAGATTAGAGTAGGGTGGGGGGAGTGAGTGGAATGAAGTAGAGAAGAGTGGAGAGAGTAGAGCAGAAAGGGGTGGATTAGAGTAGACTGGAGTAGCATACAGGAGATAATAGTAGAGTAGAGAGTACATTAGAGTAGAGTGGAGTAGAGTGCAATGGCGTAGAGTTGAGAAGGGTGGAGTAGAGTAGATTAAAGTAGACTGGAGTGGCATAAAGTAGAGTAGAAGAGTAGTAGTAGAGTAGAGTGGAGTAGGTTAGAGTAGAAAGAAGTAAAGTAGAGTGGAATGGACTAGATTAGAGTAAAATAGAGTAGAGTAGAGAAGAGTGAAGTAGAGAACAGGAGAGTGTAGTGCAGAATAGAATAGAGCAGAGTAGACTAAAGTGGTGAGAACTGGACAGTAGAGTGAGTAGAGTGGAGTAGAGTAGATCAGAGTAGACTGGAGTAGCATACAGGAAAGAATAGTAGAGTAGAGTGGAGTAGAGTACATTAGAGTAGAGTGGAGTAGAGTATATTAGAGTAGAGTGGAGTAGAGTGCATTAGAGTAGAGTGGAGTAGAGTTGAGAAGAGTGGAGTGGAGTAGAATAGAGTGTAGTGGAGTAGAATAGCGTGGAGTAGAGTAGAAAAGAGTGGAGTAAAATAGAGTGGAGTAGAGTGGAGTAGAGTGGAGTAGAGTGGAGTAGAGTAGAGTAGAGTGGATTGAGGATTGCAGTAGAGTAGAGTAGAGTAGAGTAGATTGGATTTCAGTAGAGTATAGTAGAGTAGAGTGGATTGCAGTAGAGTAGAGTAGAGTGGATTGCAGTAGAGTAGAGTAGAGTAGAGTGGATTGCAGTAGAGTAGAGTAGAGTAGAGTGGATTGCAGTAGAGTAGAATAGAGTAGAGTGGATTGCAGTAGAGTAGAGTGAGTAGAGTGGATTGCAGTAGTGGAGTAGAGTAGAAGAGTGGATGGCAGTAGAGTGTAGTGGATTGAATAGTAGAGTAGAGTGGATTGCAGTAGAGTAGAGTAGATTGCAGTAGAGTAGAGTAGAGTAGATTGCAGTAGAGTAGAGTGGATTGCAGTAGAGTAGTAGAGTAGCAGTAGAGTAGAGTAGAGTGGATTGCAGTAGTAGTAGAGTGGATTGCAGTAGAGTAGAAGTAGAGTAGAGTGGATTGCAGTAGAATAGAGTAGAGTAGAGTAGAGTGGATTGCAGTAGAGTAGAGTGGAGCAGTAGAGTAGAGTAGAGTGGATTGCAGTAGAGTAGAGTGGATTGCAGTAGAGTGGATTGCAGTAGAGTAGAGTGGATTGCAGTAGAATAGAGTAGAGTAGAGATTGCAGTAGAATAGAGTAGAGTAGAGTAGAGTAGAGTGGATTGCAGTAGAGTAGAGTAGAGTGGATTGCAGTAGAGTGGATTACAGTAGAGTAGAGTGGATTGCAGTAGAGTAGAGTAGAGTAGAGTGGATTTCAGTAGAATAGAGTAGAGTAGAGTAGAGTAGAGTGGATTGCAGTAGTAGAGTAGAGTAGAGTGGATTGCAGTAGAGTAGAGTAGAGTGGATTGCAGTAGAGTAGAGTAGAGTGGATTGCAGTAGAGTAGAGTAGAGTGGATTGCAGCAGAGTAGAGTAGAGTGGATTTCAGTAGAGTAGAGTAGAGTAGAGTGGATTGCAGTAGAGTAGAGTGGATTGCAGTAGAGTAGAGTAGAGTGGATTGCAGTAGAGTAGAGTAGAGTAGGTGGATTTCAGTAGAGTAGAGTAGAGTAGAGTGGATTGCAGTAGAGTAGAGTAGAACGTAGACTAGGTAGAGTAGAAAATAGAGTAGAGTAGAGAAGAGTGAAGTAGAGAACAGTAGAGTGTGGTGCAGAATAGAATAGAGTAGAGTAGACTAAAGTGGAGTGAACTGGACAGTAGAGTGAGTTGAGTAGAGTGAGTAGAGTGGGGTATATTAGAGCAGCGTGGAGTAGAGAAGAGTGGAGTAGAGTGGATTGCAGTAGAGTAGAGTAGAGTAGAGTAGAGTGGATTGCAGTAGAGTAGAGTGGATTGCAGTAGAGTAGAGTAGAGTAGAGTAGAGTGGATTGCAGTAGAGTAGAGTAGAGTTTGCAGTAGTAGAGTAGAGTAGAGTGGATTGCAGTAGAGTAGAGTAGAGTAGAGTAGAGTAGAGTGGATTGCAGTAGAGTAGAGTGGATTGCAGTAGAATAGAGTAGAGTATTGCAGTAGAGTGGATTGCAGTAGAGTAGAGTGGATTGCAGTAGAGTAGAGTGGATTGCAGTAGAGTAGTAGAGTGGATTGCAGTAGAGTAGAGTAGAGTTGCAGTAGCAGTAGAGTAGAGTGGATTGCAGTAGAGTAGAGTGGATTGCAGTAGAATAGAGTAGAGTAGAGTGGATTGCAGTAGAGTAGAGTGGATTGCAGTAGAATAGAGTAGAGTAGAGTAGAGTGGATTGCAGTAGAATAGAGTAGAGTAGAGTGGATTGCAGTAGAGTAGAGTGGATTGCAGTAGAGTAGAGTAGAGTGGATTGCAGTAGAGTAGAGTAGATTGCAGTAGAGTAGAGTGGATTGCAGTAGAGTAGAGTGGATTGCAGTAGAGTAGAGTAGGTGGATTGCAGTAGAGTAGAGTGGATTGCAGTAGAATAGAGTAGAGTAGAGTAGAGTGGATCGCAGTAGAGTAGAGAGAGTAGAGTGGATTGCAGTAGAGTAGAGTGGATTGCAGTAGAGTGGATTGCAGTAGAGTAGTAGAGTGGATTGCAGTAGAGTAGAGTAGAGTGGATTTCAGTAGAGTAGAGTAGAGTGGATTGCAGTAAAGAGTAGAGTAGAGTGGATTGCAGCAGAGTAGAGTGGATTGCAGTAGAATAGAGTAGAGTAGAGTGGATTGCAGTAGAGTAGAGTAGAGTAGAGTGGATTGCAGTAGAGTAGAGTGAGTGGATTGCAGTAGAATAGAGTAGAGTAGAGTGGATTGCAGTAGAGTAGAGTAGAGTAGAGTGGATTGCAGTAGAGTAGAGTGGATTGCAGTAGAGTAGAGTAGAGTGGATTGCAGTAGAGTAGAGTAGAGTAGAGTGGATTGCAGTAGAGTAGAGTAGAGTGGATTTCAGTAGAATAGAGTAGAGTAGAGTGGATTGCAGTAGAATAGAGTGGAATGGACTAGGTTAGAGTAAAATAGAGTAGAGTAGAGAAGAGTGAAGTAGAGAACAGGAGAGTGTAGTGCAGAATAGAATAGAGTAGAGTAGACTAAAGTGGAGTGAACTGGACAGTAGAGTGAGTTGAGTAGAGTGGAGTAGAGTGGGGTATATTAGAGCAGCGTGGAGTAGAGAAGAGTGGAGTAGAGTGGAGTGGACTGGAGTACAGTGGATTGGAGAGAAGCAGATTAGAGTAGAATGAAGTAGAGAAGAGTAGAGTGGACTGCAGTAGTGTAGACTAGAGTGGAGTGGAGGAGGGTAGATAAGAGTAGGGTGGGGTGGAGTGGAGTAGAATAGCAAGGAGTGGAGTAGAGTAGAGTAGAGTGGATTGGCATAGAATAGAGTAGATTAGAATGGAGTAGAGAAGAGTAGAGTATAGGAGAGGAGATTAGAGGAGAGGAGAGGATAGAACACAGATAAGTCCTATCCAAGGACAATAGGAATAAACAAATGTGACTTTACAGAGGAATCTGTAGGAAGCCTAAAATATGGTGCAAAAGAGGTACAAAGGCATTGTAATTAGTAAAAGCTGCAGGATGGCTCCAGATGCTGATTTTATCTTTCAGACTAAAGAAATTATAGAAAGTATGTGGAACAATCAGACATATTTGAAACAATACATGTCCATCGAGTTCACCCAATAGAAAAATAACTACATTGAAAATCTACATACTCAGAACCGTAAACACACAGTTGATTCATGGGAAGGCAAAAACCCATGTAAAGCCAGGCCCAATTTTCTCCAAGCAGTAGAAAAAAAAATCCTTCTTGATCAATTGTGAACATTTCCGTGGTCAGCAATCTACAGTCTAATACATTCTAATATCCACTTATATGTTTTTGTACTATAAACATATCCAGCCTTTTTTTTTATTTTTAAACACCCCATAAAAATTGTGCTATGGGTTCCATGATTCGTAGTTACACCCTTCCATAATGGCGCTATGTAATAAAAGGATATTAATAGCTAAAATCAGCCACACCATGGTAAAGGCATAAAGTTTTACCTTAGATGCAACTCTTTTCTAGTTATCTTTAGTATTGTTTATTCACAAAAAATATAAGATATGCACCATATTTTCTTTGAAATGACAAATCTTTCTGGGGGCATAAACAGGTGGAGATTTTGTCACCAATAATTTCAGATTTATGCCCAATGTTGATTCCCAGGATGCCAATCAAGGCTGTGACTGCTTGCACTGCAATGACAGTGTAGTCTATTGTGGCTAAAATTAATTCTTTCTACCATAAAAAAACAAAACAAAAAAAAAAAAAAATATATATATATATATATATAATTTTATTTTTTTTTAATCTGAACAACATTTTTGGTACATCCAAAAATTATTTTCTTTTTTTAACGCTTCTATCTGTTCATTACAAGCTGCATTTTAATCTCTTGCATCAATTACAAAACTGTGGAAAAACTTAATGGTTATAAATGGTGCACATAAGATTACAATGTATTTTTGTCCATATTCTTTACCTTGTTTATTGGGAATGCACTTTCCTGCAGAGTTTGCTATCAAAACAATGAACACAATGAGGGTAAAAAGCACCATTTCTTCAAAGAAACTAAAAAAAAAAACTTTCAGTAAAGCAATAACCAGCCAGTATCTAAAAAAGCCCAAGGTCTCAAAGATCCAGGATTGTCACCTTCAATGCCTCCATGTTCTGTCCCTGGAAGAAATAAACAACAAAAAAAAGTGCCTAATTATTTCTCTGTAAAATATTGATTCTCAAAATCACAAATATCACTAATAAATAAACACACATTCATATGGATATTATAAATCCTCTGTAAAAACACATTTGTAGTTGCCAAAATTTATAATTTATATTTACTTATTAAAAAAAAAATTATATATATATATATATTTATATTTATATATATACAGTATATAATTTATTTTTTAATAGGTAAAAAAAAACAATAAAAACTAATAAATAAACTAAGTTAATTATTTTACTTATAAAATCCCATCATCCATATATCATCATTCACTTCGAATACATTGCTCTATATTTTTTCAGGCATAATGCATGGACTAGAAAATACATTGTTTTTAATAATAACAGTCTACTATGTTATGTAGCATTGAAGAAAAGCCCTGCAGTTTAAATTTTGGGTGTGTAAACAAATGTTTCACAAACCCAGTGCCCTTATATTAGTTTTCTTTTTATATATTCTTATATTTTCTTGGCTGTCATTAATTTATTTTCTGAGACCTTTTTATTTCATTTTTTTTTTATTACATGGTTACAATTTATTATTATTTTTTACAATTGATATTTAAAGTGTTGATATTTTTATTATATATCAACAAGCACTGTACCCCTCACTTGTATTCTATGCATTCTTTGTTCCTTATTTGTATTCTGTTAGAGCCTGCTTATTAATTTATTTTCCGACTCTCTTTATTTTATTTTTTTTCAATTACATAGTTACAATTCATTATTATTTTTTATAATTGATATTTAAAGTGTTGATATTTTTATGACATGTCATAAAGCACTGTACCCCTCACTTGTATTCTATGCATTCTTTATTCCTTATTTGTATTCTGTTAGAGCCTGCTTATTAATTTATTTTCCGAGTCTCTTTATTTTATTTTTTTTTCAATTACATAGTTACAATTTATTATTATTTTTTACAATTGATATTTAAAGTGTTGATATTTTTATGACATATCATCAAGCACTGTACCCCTCACTTGTATTCTATGCATTCTATGCATTCTTTATTCCTTATTTGTATTCTTTTAGAGCCTGCTTATTTTGGCAGCTGGTAAAATGTAAACAAATGTAAAAAAAAAAAAAAAAAAAAAAAACACAATGTAGTCTGTCTGATGTGGTTCACAAAAAAAAACAAAAAAACATACTTGTTGTTGCATCTGTGGTGTGGTTTCCATCGAAGCACACCACCCATGAATTGTGACGCATGTAAAACGTATCTAAAATGCATCACACTGACATTGCACAAGTTCTACTGATTAAAAAAAAAAATTAAGAGCAACAATATGTAATAAATGTAACAAATATTTTAATTAGAAAATATAAAACGTTGTGCTCTCAATAATGTCTAATGCCATTATTACTGTTGTATTAAAAATAATAAAAAAAAACATAAAATAGACAGATTTTTAATATATTTACTATAATATATACAGTAAAATAATTTGATAATGATTGTGTATTTTTTTTTTTGTAAGGATAAAAAAGTAATTTCCTCTTACCTGCTATATTCAAGGTTTGGCAATTTGGACACTCATGACTTGTCAGCCTGTATATAGGTATTTTTTCCCCTTGTGTGTTGTCCTGTACAGATATCTCCCCTTTTATAGACTAGAGGCTAAAGAGTAGTGATCCAGAGATAAGTGTCAGCTGCCAATAGAGGAGCAGTGTTCCAGCTGACACTGAAGACATTCTCTATGACCTGGCAATGCTCAGGAGCTGTCTGTGGCTCGGCAATACATTTGCATAATGATCATTCACATTGTAAATATCCTCTGCAGGTTTATTGTATGAATGTATGCGCTTAAAGGGAAACGATCGTAGTTTGGGCTCAATTTGACCTAAGTGGGTCCATAGGCTTTTAGTGTAGAACTGTGAACACACACACAAAACTAAACACCAGGTGCAAAAAAAAGTGAGCACACAAAAAAGTGCACAGTGTGTACACATGGTCCTCCAATGAAGAGAAAGGACCCTGACCCCGATCCCCTGGGGTGCAAGACTCCTGACTGCTTTCTGGACCGGCAGAACTAATTTTTTTTTCCTGAAGCTCCACGGCGCAGTAAACACACAGAAAACTAAACACCAGGTGCAAAAAAAAAAGTGAGTACACAAAAAAGTGCACAGTGTGTACACATGGTCCTCCCCCAAAGAGAAAGGACCCTGACCCCGATCCCCTTGGGCGCAAGGCTCCTGACAGGGGTTGGAGTACTTGTGGTTTGCCCAGGCAAAAGCAGGCAGACCCCTTTATTCGGGGGGCCTGCTGAAGCAAGGTCTATCCAAGTACCAGGTGGGTCTCCCCCAAAGGCAGGCCCCATTGGTGGGAGAGAACCTGACCAAAAGGCCACATGCACTCACCTCAAGACATTCAGGGCAAGTCCAAGGACCTACACCCTACTAGTTGGGGTGAGTAAAGTGCAGTTTTCTGTCCAGAAAATGCAAAAAAGACACAAACACGAATAAAAAAGGGAAAGGGGATGTCCATCAAGTCAAAGTGGATGAGACTGCGGTCACCACCTGGATACCCCAGGGATGCTGGGCAGTCGGCCCAGACCCCCAACAGCATGATGGAGTAGGCCAAGCCACCATGTCTTCTCTAGAGCGGCTGAGAGGACTTCAGGGAGAAGGACCAATCCATACTTCTCCCCAGCGGTGAGTATGTTCTTCGAGAGAGGCAGAGGTTGGCTGGGTGAGTAATGCTATGTTTGGGACAATTTGTTTGGGGAGCTGTGTGGGTGCTGGCATTTAGGGACTGGAAGTAAAGACTAACTTCGGAGTCCACCCATCTGGGGTTTCCTCCTGCATTAGTCTCCTGCCGAAAGGGGAGATATGTGACGGGAGTCACTTTGGGTGGGGTGCCCATGGAACACAGCTCACTTTGGAGAGGTGGGGAGACACCTGTCTCAGCTCCCCATATCCCTATTAAGTGTAAGTCACTCTGTGCTTGTTAGGGGTACAGGATGATCTGTCCAAATATTGGGGGGGTTGTTTATTGTTTAATTAATGCCATGTGGCTGCATCCCATTGTTCTATTGTGTGTCTTGCTTGGGAGCAAACTATTATGGGATGTATGTGTTTATGGGTATTGGCTTGGTGGGGGGGTGTTTCCAGCAGCCCTCTCCCCTGATGGGACTGTCTGCTGGTGTGTCTCTTGTTACTAAAGGTAGACTGCCCTGCCCTGTGTCATTATGCAGGGAGGGGGGGTTGTTCCCTTGAGTGTATATATCTTGTATCTGTGTTAAAATAAAGTAGTCTATTTCCTGGTTTATTTCAAGACTGGTGTCGTCTAATCTTGTATGGTCTGCTGTGGTGTCTGTGGTTGGTACAGGCAGACCATACTTCAGACAGGGAAGCGGTATCCTAACGGAAATACCCAAATGCAGTTGAGGTCCGGTTCCGTTACAGTGTGTGCATATATATATATATATATATATATATATATATATTTGTATATAAAATCTTTGCTTCTAACTTTTTAAATTAATTCCTGGCTGCTATATAAAGAGCACCAATGACAGGCTACATAAAAAATAAAGTGCTTAAACACTAAAATAAGGCCTGGTCACACAGTGTGTACTACAGTGTACACCTGCAGAAGGGCGTGTACAGGTGTTGTGTGCACCCCCTAGCAGGCAGTCCTATTGATGTCAGCTAGGACTTCCAATTCAATACGCCTGCAGAAGGCAGTCCTAGGACTTCCAATGTCAGCTAGGACTTCCAATTCAATACCCCCTAGCAGGCAGTCCTATTGATGCCAGCTAGGACTTCCAATTCAGTGTACACCTGCAGAAGGGCGTGTACAGGTGTTGTGTGCACCCCCTAGCAGGCAGTCCTATTGATGTCAGCTAGGACTTCCAATTCAATACGCCTGCAGAAGGCAGTCCTAGGACTTCCAATGTCAGCTAGGACTTCCAATTCAATACCCCCTAGCAGGCAGTCCTATTGATGCCAGCTAGGACTTCCAATTCAGTGTACACCTGCAGAAGGGCGTGTACAGGTGTTGTGTGCACCCCCTAGCAGGCAGTCCTATTGATGTCAGCTAGGACTTCCAATTCAATACGGGTGCAGGTGCATGGCCCCAAATGCAGACAGCAGTACGCCCCGTATGAATGAGGCCTAATAGTAATAACAGTATGCTTTATTACATATAAAATCACTGTGCCATTAAAAGAAGTAGTTGCTTGCCTCGCTGTAAGGATGATGCATCTCTTGGACACAACACCTCACACTGCAGCTTTCATTACACATATCTGTATGTCACTAATTGATATATATTGCATAGTGATTTTACTGTGTATATACTGTATGGTAAGGGACTTCATGATTAATAAAAATAAAACAGTATGTTTTAAAGTGGCTGTAAAGGCTCAAGGATTTTTAATCTTCCTGCATTCTATGCATGAAAGTAAAAAAACCTTCTGTGTGCAGCATCTCCCCCTTAGCCCCGCTAATACTTATCTGATCCAGAGATGTGCATGAGAGTCACGGCTCTCCTGGGACTCTCACTCCTCATTGCCTGAGACAGCAGTGGCAGCCATTGGCTCCCGCTACTGTTAATCACAGCCAGTGAGCCTATGAGGAGAGAGGGGCCGCACAGCTACTAAAATACGGCATGAGTTACAGTATATTATTAAGTCATGCAGTATTTTAGTAGTGAAAACATTCTTTACTGTTTCAGACGTCAGGGAGGTTCCCCGCTGACAACTGAATGTAAAAAGAATTGCCAGCATTGCCTGGCATTTAAAACATTTAAAAAACTGGCGTAGGGTCCCCCCTTCATTCATACCAAGCCAAGCCCTTCGAGTTTGGTATGGATCTTGAGGGGAAC